ATTCGAATCCTTCACCCACAGATTACTACTCGAGCGCCCTAGCCAATCGGGTCATGCCTAGATTCAATTGATTATCACATTATAAAGGCTGAAAGGGCGAGCCTTTTAGGTGAGGGGATTCGAATCCTTCACCCACAGATTACTACTCGAGCGCCCTAGCCAATCGGGTCATGCCTAGATTCAATTGATTTGGCAGGGTCATACCTTGGTCCAATACAACCAGATTTCTTTTTCATTTTGTTGATTTAGGCTTTATTAAGGATGTTATGGGATCAAAGGTCAAACAACCCTAAAATGTATATTTTGGGCTTCTTTGCGGTCATATTTACAGCAGTCAAGATGAAAATTGGCACAAATATAAATTTTAATGCGCCCAACACATTAACGTATAAAAAAGTTGGATTCGCCCATTTTGAGTCTTTTTTTTGGGGGGGGCGCACAAAAAGGCATAATTTAGAGTGTTTTGATCAATTACTCGAGCATATTTTGAACAATTTATATGGGATTTGGTACAAAGATACCTTCTTGCAGGTCTCAAACCATGATATAGACAGTTTTCTATTCTTCTATGTTTTTCTTGATTTTTCTGAGATCAGATTTGGCCATGTTGGGATTGCGTGGCGGAGACATGTTGCCCGCGAATGTTGACCTCTTTAATCTTCTTAGCTTTCACTCACGAGCTCTTAAAAAAATCCTTTGTCTGAAATCCGTGTTTCTGGTGTCCTTGTATGTGGCAGATGTAGTATGGCTGACATACCATTACATATTCCTCTTTGATTTCATTCATAAGTTCGTGGAATTCCTTTGTTTGGAGTCCATGTTTCTGCTGTCCTTGGAGAGGGGAATTCCTTTGTTGTGATTCTATGATTTAGAAGGGGAAACCCCTGAAACAGACCCTTAAGAAAGTAAGAATACTCATTCTGACAAGAGAGAGAGGTTTCATGTTAGTGTGACAAGTGACATGATCAGAAAATGTCATTTGGAGTGGAGCCGTTTGTGGTCTAGTGAGTAGTTTATCGGATGGTGAATCCAAGGGTCCCTTGTTCGTGTTCCTTTGTCATAAGATAATTTTCCAAAGTTTGGGGCCGTGGGTACGTTATAAGAGTGACCGTTCGATTAGAGTAGCCTTAAAAGTTGACAGTGGGTGTGGATAGCCGGGAGGTTAAGGCGTTAGTCTTGGGAACTAAATGTTACTGGAAAGCACCCACAACAACAGCCCGTGGGTTGAGATCAGTGCTACACACGTTTAGTGTGAAAGGAAAGGGGGCTAGGCTTATCACATGGAAGTGTAAACAGAAATATACTGGAGAGGTAAACAGAAATACACTTTGGGTGTACTTAAAGATAAACTGGAGGTGTACATAGAAATACACTAGAGATGTAAACAGAAATACACTGTAGACGTACATAAAAATACACTGTAGGTGTACACAGAAATACACTGGAGATGTACTTAGAAGTGTAGTGGATGTGTATAAGAATACAGTTGATGTATTTCTTGATCATTCTTTTTCAATTTATTAGTTAAAATTCAACATTTCTTTACAAGTAGCTTCAAATATTTAGATCAAGCCGGATTTTGTGCATTTTTTGGTCGAAAATGTTCATTATTTTTTTGTTCGAGTCAGTATATTTTAAATAAAACGTTTCCTTTACTATAACTTCTTAAACACTTTTCTTACAAGACTCGAAGCACGCAGTCTTGGTAAAGAAAGCTTTAGTTTCAGATCTCGGAAAGACAGCGTGAGGGGAGCGATGAATGCTGTCGGTTGGTTTGTTCCTTTGTTTTCGTGCTTACTTCCAAACGCTGAACGATGAGGTCACTAACCGATTATGTTTGGTTTTTATGCTCAGTATTAAGATAACAAGAGAAGGATGGAGGTTGAAAACTTGAGAACATAAGAGTGCGCTGTATAAATACAACTGCCAAAGTTCAAAGACACGTGCTGTTTCTTGCGAATATAAAGATAAGTTACACAAAACAAAGCTGGAAATTATTACGCATGCGCAGTACAAATTCGTTTGCGTTAGAAAGGTGATAAAATTGTTATTGGATTTTTAGGCTTATCAAGTAGAAAATAAAATCCCGACCACTTAAATTGTGATTATTTACCAAGAAATGTTATTCACTCAAATATTTAAAACCAATAATAGTTCTAAATAATTATAAATAAACCACGATAAATAAACGGCATAAAAAAATGCTAAACCTAACGGAATTATAAGATCACAAGTATCGCTACATATAATAAAGCACAAAACAAGAAACCCGATGACCCGAGCGTTCTCGCAAGTCTACGTTTCCGGGGTGACACGTGCCCCCAACCATTTACCCGTAGCGAAATGTCCTTTTGAGTGGGGAATTCAACGGTGCCCCCCTCAAAAAAAAAATCAAATTTGTTCCGCCACCTGTAGGTTTCTTGTTTTGTAATTTATATATTTTTTTATATTACATAATTTCTCAGTATTATTATTATTATCATCATCATTATAAGTATCTATGCCCATGTAGACGGGTTACACTTTCCCTTCCAAAGTCCCCCCGACTTTAAAAATAATATTTTTTCTGTTGTCCAGTTTGCTCATCCTGAAATTGCGCGCGCAACTTTCTGGCTAAATGCGTGTGCACGCGCACTTCATTACAATGGATGTAAACAAAACGCGAATGTAAATATATTTTAGTAGACATTTTGTACAACATAGTAAACGCTTATCAAAGTTTTTATTAAGATCTCACGTTAAGTTGTACAATAAAATTATCAGTTTATTTAGTGACAGTATTAAGTACGGTAAAGTTTAGTCCTAACTAAACTAAAGCCAAAAAAACGCGTACAAAAGTTATATCGTTATCTCTTTATCGAATATAGGCCGTATACTTAATAATAAAGACGTAACTAATGTTAGGCCTAACAAGTGGACTTGCAGATTTTTAGTGTCTGCGATTAAAATTATTTTAATTATTCTAGAAACCCTATATTTAAAGACCTACTGTTGCAACAAGAGACACTTATTTGACCACAAATGCTATGCTGGACTCTGCTAGTAAGTAAACAACACACACCTAAACAATAAGCGGGAAACACAACCTGAAATATTGGGGAAATTTTTTCTCACATTATTGTTTTCAACGGAGGTTACGTCATATTGAGCTTTGCTCTGATTGGGCTGTTGTTGTTGTTGTACTCGTATCTAAGCTGGCCTGACGACCTGTTCGTCATTGGTTTTGACAGATAGAGTATTTATATCTCCGCAGAGAGACAGACAAGCTATGTTACTTTTATTTCCTTATATTTCAAACACTTTTCAGTTGACCGATATTTCTCGGCGGATTGACTTGAAACTCCTTTATATTACGTCATCTTATCAGCAACAACTCTAGGCTGTGATTGGCTAACTCATACTGAACATCCCTGGATAGCACTATTACATGACTTGAAACTTGTTATTTCATTCCTAACCCGGAGTGGACTGGCGGGCCATAGAGGGTTACGCCCTCTCGTCAGCCAATGGACAAAGAAAAAAAAATGGGTAAAATGAATAATAGATGGGTAAACGTGCAAGTCAACACAGGAGGTGGAAAATGGGGGAAAACGCGATACGTGCAGATGGAGGAAACAATCCAGAGAAATATGGGTGAACACTGATCCGTCTATATCACACAAAGGAGATAATGTGAGAACTGGCAACGAATGATATAATTAATCGAGGCGTTATTTATATAATCAGTTTCGATATCAACAGCTATGGTGTGAACTTTATTAAGTAAGTGAATTATACTAATCGTTATCTATTTAAATGATCCGCAAA